TGGAGGGGTTTCAAAGCCGTGTAGATGAGATGTTGAGGGATGTGGTTCAGGGGTGGACTTGGCAGTGCTGGGTCAATGGCTGGACTCGATGATATTGAAAGTCTCTTCCAACCAGAACAATTCTGTGATTCTCCAAACTAAACAACCCCAGTGTCCTCCTGCCCGGAGCCTTCCTCCCAGGGGCAGCAGGCTCTGATGTGCCCTACGCTGGCCCTCAGAGGAGATGTCCTCACCCACCCCACGTCCCACCTCCTGCGGAGAGCCAAGGGTAACAGGGAGGGGGCAGCGAGGTGTGGGTGTTTGAAATAATGCACACAGAGAGGGCAAGTGCCACCAGTATTGGTCCTTCTAATAAAACAAAGTTATCTTGGAGAGATGGAAAACCCTTGAAAGCATATCCGTGCTACAGGACTTGATAAAATAGCAAAATTTGGAGCAACGGAATTCTCTGTTCTGAGTTGCATGCTAACAGTGCACCACATAGGAGAAGAGACTATAAATAAAAGATGGAGTTCATTTAATTTTCAGGAGGACCCCAGCTTCTGGAGTCAAGGAAAGCTGCTCCTGATGCTGCAGTGCTGACATAAACCCTGGGACTGCAGATATCAAGTTCTTCCCTTTGGTGCTCAGCTGAGGGACTTTAATGAGGTCTGTGAAAACAGGAAGATGACTTGAATGTGCTTTTTACAAGCTGATGTTACAAATGTAGTCAGCATCTCTGCTTACACTGCTTTTATCTCTGCTTTTTCCACTTACAACATTGTTTTGTGTGTTTTACTAGCAATGGAAAAATGGATTTGCTCTGTTTGGATTAACAAGCTAATTAAAAGTAATTAATGTAAGTGTTCTAGCATGAAAACTGTGTTGTCTCAGTCTCCTTTTTGAGTTTCTAAATGTGCTGGATATTTCCAAAATACATTGCAAATTCATCCACTTTTAGAAGCGTTTATTTTCCACTTTTGGTGAAAATGTGGTTGCAGGAAGCCTCAGAAGGTTATTCTGATCCTGCAAGAGCGATGAGCTGCATGAAATTACAGACTTTTGGTGAGGAGAATTATCTTTCACATAGAAAGGTCTGGGTAAAATCCCTGTTTGGGGGATTTCTATGTGTTTGGGGGATTCCCCGTGTGTTCATAGGCAGTTATATTTTCGAAGATTATTATTAGATTTTTATGTTTCTGATCTGATCTGATCTCACTGTGGTATCGAAGCCCTGTAGACTAACCCAGCCTGACCCTGGCACGTGTTGGTGCTCTGGCTCCAATCAGCATCAAGACCGTGCTGCTTTTTATTTGCCTTAAGCCGTCTAACCAGTTTTTTTTTTGCCAGCCTAATGGATTAAATTTTACTTCCCTCTTCCTTAGCAGAGATGAAGTATCAGGGTACTTTTTCTGCTGTTTACCTTCGGAGCGGAAGGTTCTTGTTCTTCTAGTTCTCCTGTGTAGGGCAGCTCAGAGCCAGGCACACGGCGTCTGCTGGGATACCGAGGAGTTTCTCCAGGGAACCTGGACATGTTAAAACACAGCCTGTTTTTGTTCACTTTGGGACTAATTCTAACTGGAAAAACTTTTTGGATAAAAGGTAAGCTTTCAGGTTTTGTTACCTGTTCAGAAAGTTTCCCCACGTCTTCGTGTACCCTCTGGTCCATGTTGTAGTGATGCACACCTTCCAGGTCGAGTCACCGTTCTCCCCAGGGATCAGGCTATTACCTGACCTGCCAGTTGAGAAAATCTTGTTCAAGAAGAAGTCATCTGGAAAAGATAACAGGTTGAAGCTTCATACAGTTGAGCTCTTTGTGTTGTTTTTTATTTCTCCAGGGTGTAGTAGGTAAGTCAATACATCTTCCATATGGACACTGGTTGTGACAACTGCAGTTGCTGTCGTTCATCAGTACTAAAGACTGTAGAAAAAGATTATTTCTTCAGTAATGTGAGGGAAGTTCCTGTAGTTCTGGTTTAGTTCCTCATTAACTCATTTCCATTAATGATTGGGCTTCAGATTTTAGATTTAGACATAACCCCTGGAATATTTCTTAGAAAGTGATATTTTTATGACGGTTTCCTGCTTTCAGGTGTCAGAATTTGAATTGCTGGAATTGCCTTTCCACTGCTCACTCAGCATACTCTTAACTCATGAAACAGAATGGGTTTCATGACTTAGATAATAAAATTATTGAAGATTAACAGCAAAGTGAGACAAATAGAGTGCTGATATTCTTTGCAGACCTATTTGCTAATAGCAACTTGCACATTTGGATTGCAATGAGGCTTTAATGTTAACCATATGCTACCTGCACCTAGCTTTTAAAACTGCTGATGTTATCTCAGAGGTAGAGATCATCATTACACTCAGGAATCCTCCTCCTTGCTTTGAATGGGTGGTTCTGTGGCTTCTTTGCAATTATGAATTCCTTTCAGAGAAACGTGGGAGGCTGAGAATGACTTTGTGCTACTATAAATGAGAAGAAATCTCTTTGTTTCTGTATGAAAGAACAATTGAAGGAAGAAGAAACTACTTTCATTGCCTTTATGAAAACGTTTACCTGAAACCAGATACTCAGCAGACTTCTTATCTTTAGCTTCCTGCATTAACATGATGTTCTGGGGATAATTTTTATATACTGTAAAATGCTGCAAACCTTCTGCAAAGGTTTGACTGGTGCTGGAAAAAAAACAAAATGTGGTTAAATAATTTGCTAGTTTTCCTTTCTGTGCTCCAGAAGACCCCAGCTTTAATCTGAAGTTACATTTTTAAAATCACTTTGACCATTCCTAAACTATTTCTTCTCCACTATCAAAGCATGCACTGAATACAGGAAGATTTTTTTCCCCTTGGGATTCCTTACTATATTACTGTCACATTGGTTGAAGGATTTGTCTTTTTCAAACAATAATTGATTTGGTTTGATATTGTCTATATGAAGGACTGAGAAAAAGCTGAGCTATTATCCCAGTTTATAATGTAACTAAGACCAGGAGTTAAAGCCAAGACTGCCAGCCAGTTTTGGGCACCCTGTTCAGCAAAGCTTTTGCTCAGATTTGCAGTTATTAGCACTTCACATCAGTTGTGTTTGGGGTGCTGTACTCGTTACCCTGGAATATGGTCAAAACAGCATTTCTGCAGAGGATGAGGCCACGTATATTTAGTTTATACATTCAGAAGTGAAGAGTAACTTGGCCATCAATGAAAATGTTGATTTCTGCACCTTTCCCAGCATCATCCAAGAGCTCTGGCCAAGACAGAATACACCAAACTGAGCCTGGGCAACCAGCTCTTGTACTGGTGAAACTGCTCTTTCTCCATTTATGCTGGGACCAGAACAGTCTTTCAGCAACCATCAGTGTGCAGATGCCAACATAATGTCTTAGATTGTGACAGTATCCTTTCTGATTCTTTAGGAATTTAAAACTTTATTTTCAGGTGCATCTTCTGAACAGACAGACAGAGCTTCTAGTTTAGAAATAATCATTCCTCGAAGCCTGATGGGCAGAGAGAAGCATCACCCATTTTTCCATGAGGTTTGTTACTCTGATGTTTATGTTGCTGTTTTTCACACTACTGTCCTATATTACACACACAATGTATGGTATATAGAGATTATTTTTATGAAGACATGTACCACACACTCTCTCTTCAGAGTCTTAGTCTTTTTTAACTAGTTTTGAGTACATTTTTTCCCACAAAGGTCTGTGATTGCACTTTAAGTTAGCACCTTTCAAACTTCTAGTCTTGTTACAGCCTTGTAAGACAACAGTGAGAAGAAACACAAATATTTCCATTTCCTCTCTGTCAGAGCAGATGTTGATCTCAAATTTTAATTAATGTCCATGCTGTGTATGTTCTTCTGCTCATGCACCTGTTCTTTGGATAACCAGAGGATTTCAACCAGGTCGCCCCTGAAGGGCTGATTCTCACTTCGTAGAAATGACCCCACAGAGTGGCACAGGTTAAATGAATGAGTTAAAAGAGAAAGGTCTGAGCCTCAATTCTTCAGTTCTGAGGTAACTTACCTTTGTCCTAGATATGGAGTTCAATTAGTGAGGTGACTGGTAACGAAACAGCATTAGTCATCTCTGTGCAAACTGATGAAGGAAGGAACAATCTATGAGCTGTACACCTGGCTGCCAAAAATTTACACAAGGGGTGTCATGACACAGGATGTGGTAGTTGGACAAAGAGTGCATAGGTGGGCTGTGCCCCTCTGTCTTCTATGTGAAAGTGAAAATGTATAGATTAATCAAATTTAAGCTTTCCATAGGAAAAAATGTAGAGTGTACTCCTGAGACTCTGAAATCTAGAAGGCATGAGAGGATTCTGTGTTTTGGAGATACTTAAAACTATATAGTAGCTGGACCTCTCTAACAAAACATGGAAATGACACAATCAAGTAGTAAATCACCTAATTAAGTGATATCTTTTGTTCTGTTTTCAGGAGCATTCACATGACAATCTTTCTTACTCAGTTAAAACCAGAAATGGAACGTATCTCCTGAAACTGAAGAAAAATAAGTATGTAATAGAGTGTTCTAAGGAATCATAGCATCTTGGGAGTCAGTTGCATATAGACAAGTGTTTTTATACAGGAAAAAAAAATCAGAAGAACCATTTAAATGGCAGGTTGTAGTAATTACCAAATTACTCTGATAAATAATGTCTCTGTTATGGTACTAGGTTGCAAATAGGAGGGAATAACATTTTTTCTAGTTGTGAAGAAATATATTTTGATTAATTTTTTTATCAGTAGCACAAGAAAGTCCATTTCAGAAAACCCCTATGGAAAATTAGAATTAAGTTCAACATTAGCTTTCTGTTAGCAGGGGGAGGGCTGTTAACCATGTTGTAATAGAAGAAATTTGCCTGTTACTGTTGTTCCTCATTCCTGAGCCTCTAATAGTCCCATCCCTGATGCAACATACTCTGCTCAGATCCTGCTCTATGGATATATTAGTTAAAATATTTCAAAGTCACTCATTTTCCAAATACTGCAGCTCATTTTAAGTTTGGGTTTTTTTTGTTTGTTTTGTTTTGTTTTCACATTTGTGGATTCTAATAATAATTTAGCAGGAGTCTGCTGCTAACAGAATGGAGTACTTACTAGGATTCTTGACTTATTTCTTGGTTTCTTGACTGTTAAAAGAGCAGTAGTTTATTTTTGTTTCCAGAAAGCTTGTTAGTGAAGACTTTATTCTATATACATATGGAGAAAATGGGAAACTGGAGGCAACACAGTTGAAAAATGAGGTATTGTATATAATTAAGTTCCCCTTTTGTGTCAGAGTTTCCTGTAACCAGGGAAGCCAAGCTTTAGGAATCAAAGCCATAACAAGAAATTGATAGAAATGAGGATGACAAGAAGGATGTGTATGTATCTAATGTATTTTCAAAGCAAAAGTGAATACATAACCATTAAATCTCAGTATCTAGGTATCTCTATAGTAGGATAGTGAAAATTGTTTGAATTTTTGGCAGTGGAGGGGCAAATGCAGGTGATGCACATAAAGTATCTACAGAAGAAAAATATATTTACTGGGAAATAGATTTCTGAGAGTTTCCACATTTGTGGCACTTCTGTTTAACAGTTACCACTGACACAAAACATAAGATTCTATGTCTTAAGAGGGAGTGGGCAGTTTAGATTTATTTGTTATACTTATTTTTATGTTATACAGCATCCCTGTGTTCCAGGCTGTGAAAGGAGATGCCAGGAGATTACGCCAAGACTGATTCTGAGCTACCTGATTAGGTGGTCTTTGCATAGTATGCAAGTAGAAGTAAAATGGCAGCAGCAAAGCTCTACAGTTTTTAGATCCTGTATCAAACAAGCCTTTTAAATACTTTGAATTTAATTTAACTTTCAGCTGCATGTGAAGTCAGTGAGACTTTATTGGGTGCTTTGTGCATGGGAGATGTTCTCAGGTCTGTCTTTGAGAGGAGTCTAAGAACAGGATGAGCAACATAGATGGAAAGATTTTGGTAAAACATAGTGGTGGGTTAAACTAAAAAGCTGGTTGTTCCATAGAACCAAAGGAGTAAATCCTATTGTAAGCATTCATGTCAGGTAATATTCTACTCCAGGAAGGCTGGGATTACTTTTAGAATAGGGAACTCTGTAATTTGTAAGAGATGGTTTTAATAGAATGAAAATGAAAAGGTTAGTTAGCAAATAAGTGTACATTTGAAAGCCACAACCCTATTTGGTCATTAATTAGGTGGTTTCATTGCATTTCAGACACACTGTTATTACCATGGCACTGTTGAAGGAGTTGCTGACTCAGTGCTTGCTCTCAGCACATGTGATGGCCTAAGGTATTACCTCTTGCTTTTCACTTCAGGATGATTAATTGTGTGGTACCAAAGTAAAACAATAAAAAACCAGTTGCTACTCATCATACAGCTGGAGAGAAAACACCTTTTGTTTCTTTTTTTTCTTTTTACTATTTCTCCTTTTGGTGAGTCTGGAACTCAGTACAAGTTTTATAGTTTTCCTCAACTACCACTTTTTTCCCCTTGTCCAAAATTCCTTCACAGAAAAAAGATAATATGAGAGACAGCAAAATCTAAATACAGGCAGAACATGGGCATGAACTGAGGCCTTTATTATTTGATGCAAATGTCCTGACCAGAAATACCCTTGTACAAGAAATGCTACTTGCTGAAACCTTCACTGAACTTAAAACACTCCTGAGAACAATTTTGTCTTCAAAAGACAAACCATTTCCATGGAAATGTTTTGGCCAAATTTGAAACAAATAACTTTCACATGTTATTAACTAGAGAATTCGTGTTCTAAATACAGTTTTGAGATTCTGGAGAACAAGATAATAGCTTCTGAAAGATACTGGTACAGCATATGGGCATGTTGCAGGCATTTCTGAGGCATGGACAAATGTAAAATCCTTATGGTCAGTGCAATGCTGCTGCTGCCCACGAAAACACCCTGGGGATTGCTTTTAGCCTCCCTTTCTGCCTTAGAAGATATCTTTTTCTAAAATGCTAGATCACTTTAGCATGGGCCATTACTTTAGCATGGGACTAGGAGTGAGATTAGAGATAAAGACTAAAAGAGTCTCTTTGCATCAGCTCTGTAGCCAAAATCCACATTAATTTAGTAACAATTTGGCTTTCCCACTCACTGATTCAAGGGGCCCACACTTGTGTATGATGGAGTATTTAAAATCAGTTCTGGTTTGTCTTTTGAGATCCTGTTGGGCATTTGAACTTACCCCCTATATTAATATAATTTCAGTTAATCATTTATTTCAACATAGTGCAATATTTTTTAAGTATCCAGCTGTAATTCACTCACCTAGTCATAGCTGTGAGAGAAAAACTGTGCAATCATTTTTCATTCTTTTATGATTCCTAGAGGAATTCTCTACATTGGTGGCAAATGGTATGGAATGGAGCCACTCAACACATCCAGCACATTTGAGCACATGTTTTACCTGTTAGAAGATATGCAGGATATCCCCTTCCAGTGTGGTGTGCTGAATGGCAGCCTTCATCCCCAGAAGATGTTTGTGGAGCCTTCTGTGAAATATGCTTTTTTGTCAAACAGCACCTCTAGCAGGGAGAAGCTTTTGAGGGTAAATACCTTTCTGTTTCTCTCTTGAGTCCAAGCCTTCTTCCTCCTCAGTAAGTTCCAGCAAACAAAGGTCTCCAGAGCTTCTGCTCTGGCATGGTATCATTGCCCTGGCAGGCCACTTCCTTCTTGCCTTCATTTTCATGGGCCCCAAACTGGCTGGAGTATTGCTGAGGAAATCCTGAAGTGGAAGAACAGCACAATGGGAATTTAACATAGCTTGAATCATAGAATCACAGGACTACTATGGTGAGGGTTGGAAAGGACCTCTGGAGATCATGTCACCCAATCCCCCTACTAAAAGCAGGGTCACCCACAGCAGGCTGCCCAGGATCATGTCCAGGCAGGTTTGGAATCTCTCAGGAGAAGGAGGCTCCACAACTCTGGGCAGTCTGCTCCAGGGCTCAGGCACCCTCACAGGAAAGTTCTTCCTCACATTCTGATGGAACTTGCTAGGTTCCAGTTTGTGCCCATTGCCCCCTGTCCTGTCACTGGGCACCACTGACAAGAGTCTGGCCTCATCCTCTTGACCCTCACCCTTTAGATAGTGATAAGTGTTGATCAGATTCCCTCTCAGTCCTCTCACCTCCAGGCTAAACAGACCCAGGGCTCTCAGCCTTCCCTTGTCAGAGAGATGCTCCAGTCCCCTCAGCATCTTTGTAGCCCTTCACTGGCCTTTCTCCAGTAGTTCCTTGTCTCTCTTGAACTGGGGAGCCCAGAACTGGCTGCAACACTCCAGAGGTAGCCTCACTAGGGCACTGTAGAAGGGGAGGAGAACCTTCATTGACCTACTGGCCACACTCTTCTTAATGCACCCCAGAAGACCATTGGTCTTGGCCATAAGAAAACATTGCTGGCTCATGGGGAGCTTGTTGTCCACCAGGACTCCCAGGCCCTCCACATTAAAATAATTGCTTTATAAATCCATGAACAGGAAGTCATGAGAAAGAGAAGTAATAAACCCTTGAATTCAGTAGTTGTGATATTAACTTACTGTGTTTTCTGCTTTGCAGAAGAAGCGAGCTGTCCTGCCACAGAAGAGCTACGTGGAATTATTTGTGGTTGTGGATAACAACAGGGTAAGGATTTCATCCAATGCTATATACATTTTATTAAACCATTACATGTTTTCTCTGATATTCTCATATGATGTTTTACAGTTTTTGCTGAAGAATTCTGATCCTGCTGCGGTGCAAAAGGAGACAGTTGAGCTCATTAATTATGTTGATGGGGTAGGTCAGATAAGTTCCTGAGATTCAGTAGTTTCTACTTTATTATAGTTTTCAGAAGAAAAGCTAATGCAATAAATCTGAACAATTATGTCCTGAAACTGTGTTTGGAAGTTTCCAGTTTGGAATATACAGCAATATTTAACACATTTAAGGCACCTCATGAATCTACACACAAGTCTTTCAGAGTTGTAGACAGAGGGAGAGATGCAAGATGTTTTTAACCACTTCTCTGCACTCCCAGACTTTAGCTGCTGCAGGAATGAGAGGTCTCCAGTAGGTTTCACATTTCCAGGAGGAGTAGCTCTCATGTATGTAGTTCTTTTTTATTAAGCAAACTGTCAGCACTGTGACCGATTCCATAAGCTCTCTGATCACCTGTTCCTGATTTCTTCTGAAGACAATTAGTTGAGGAAATGAATGAATGAATGTGATCTTTCCAACTTCTCCAACTGTAAAACATGTTTAGGTATCTTCATGAAGCAGGTTGCTTTCAGTCATATATTCCTTCATCAAATCAAACTTAATTATTCAAAGTAACTAGCATTATGTCTCAGTCATTAGGTTCAACATAATGTTTACATTGTAATTGTTCAGAATTCAGTTGAAACAGCCTGATGGACAGTAATTACCATTATATTCTTTCAGATGTACAGAGCATTAAACATCCAGATTGTTTTGGTTGGATTAGAGATCTGGACAGACAGGAATCAGGTGTCTGTAGTGGATGGTTCAGCTGGAGATGTGCTGAGCAGATTTGTCTCCTGGAGACAGAGAGATCTTCTGAAACGATCACGAAACGACGTCAGCCACCTCATAATGTAAGTGTTCACCAGTGGTCACACCCATCAACACAGCCAGGGCTGCTAATGTGTGTGATGTGGGGCTGCTGAATGACTGAAAATACAACTAGAGTAAAATTCACTCCAATTCCAAATTTTCACCTGGAAAAGTGTCAAGAAAGTGTAACGAGTTCTTTGTAGATAAAGAGGGGTTGGAGCAGGTGACCTCATGACACTGTTTCCAACCTCAACCATTTTGTGATTTGGTGAACTTGGAAGCACTGACACAGCAGATTTAGGTAACTGGTCATTATTTTCAAGCTCTGTTATTCACCTGTTCATTATTTATTGTAGTGAAACCCTGATGTGATGATAAATTTATTCTTTACTTCAAGAAAATGAACTCTTGACTTGCACTATTTGTTTCAAACTCATCAGTGTCTTTTAGTAGAAATCATGAACTTTCAGCCCCTCTTTCAACAACACCTTCAAACTGCTTTTGTTGTAGAGGGAGAGGCTCTTATGATGGATCCATTGGAATGGCTTATGTGGGTACTGTCTGCTCACAAGTCCAGGGAGGATCAATCAGCACTGTAAGTACATAAGGTTGTGGTTACTGGAAGAAACTAGCACAGGAGCTGCTAAACTATCATAGATATGCTGCTAGTGAGATCAAGAGTTACATTTACCCAACCCAGAGTTGTAGCTACTGCTATTGCCAGACCCAACCCAGAGTTGTAGCTTCTGCTATTGCCAGACATTGCTTCCACAGAGGTGCCTTCCAGAACATCCTAAATAAAGAAGGTGCCATTTGTCAACCTCTTTGCTCCAGTCACTCAGGCCTTGGAGTGATAGAGTTTCTTTCATGGGGTTTCTGATGTAAAGACTTGTTATTTTTATACTTATATTTAAAAAAAAATTGTTTCCCCCATTTCTTTCTTCATCCTGTTCCAGTCCATTTGGCTGATTTAGTCCTGAAATATTTTTTTAATCAGCTTTTTGTAATTCATCTAGCTCAAGGTTGTGTAAGAAAAGCCCATTCTGTCAAGTTTCATAACCACTGGCTTTGGGATGGGGATGCAGCTACAAAATAATGTGTATTTTTTGACTCCACAAGGACAGGCAGGGAACATAATGGGCTCTGTTATCAAGTGTCTGGAATTCTCCACAGTGATGCTGTAAATAGTCAAGCATTTTAATTTGGGCAGAATTAGCCAGATTCTGTTCTTTAACAGTCTTTGTCTTTTTGTCTTTGAAGACTCCATTGAAATCAGTGTCCTGACTGATAAACTGTGTCATTATTCAGAACATGATCCTAATGGAAGGAATAGAAACAGCAGCAGGATCTGGCCCTACCGAAAAAACAGTGACAAGCTGGCTGTCCTTGCTGCTTTCCCTTTGCAAACCAATTTAGTATTCTGTCTGCATAGCCTCTGAGAGATTTAGGGCTTGAAGAAATCAATAGCAGGAACTTAGCAATGGCTTTTGTTGTGTATTTTTTAACACTGGTTCTCTTCATTAGTTGAATCATAACAATATGTTACGTCACGCTACAGTAGTCGCACATGAGCTGGGGCACAACCTGGGCATGAAACACGATGACAAAAGGTGTCCTGCACCCTACATTATGCACAGCACAGATAAGTAAGATTACCAGTTATTTTATTCCAATAAAACTTATTTACCTGCAGTGACTATGCTTTCTAAGCTGTGAAACCCCCACCAGTCTTCAAGGCCTTTTGTGAATGGGGAGTTGTTTGAAAAGTTTAAGCACAGAGGTGAATTCATTGACTTAGATCCTGATATCATTTTAAATTATTTGAAAGGTTACCTGTTTTCTCATCCTGTCATTCTTTATTTGTAGCATTCCTAAAAACTTATTTGTATTTTCTTAAATTTTTTATGGTAGTGTCTTGCTGGTTTTTTTACCCTGCTGAGAATGCTTTACATGTATTCACTGGGTTTGTGCAAACCTGCAGCCTCTGCACAGATTCTCTTATCAGTTAGTTTAAACCAAACTTCTCAGCTTATGTTTCTTTCAGTCCTTTGGCTTTCCCTTACAAGAAAAAGATCATATTATTTTATCTGTCCACATCTGTATTAATAAATCAGGGTAATTGAACACTGGGCCAAAGCAGATGCATCCCTGAGTTCTTAGGGACTCCAGGTTAACATGAACGTTCTCTTGGAAAGTATTTTTTAATCAAGCAATTTTAGACTCAGTACAGACAAGGAATTTCCAAAGCCTGGTTTTTATGGGACATCGGAATGGATAATCTGATGGTCTCTTTTTCTTCTGAGAATACTTGCATTTATGTTATATATAGTATTTTTGACTTCAAGTGCTGTCCTCTAATGCAAAATAAAGTCAAAATTAAGTATCTCATTATCTCCTGGTGTTATGGAACATATTTATTATAGATTGACAATATTTTAAGGGCTTGAATTGTATTTTTTTATTGCAAGCAAAATAAAAATAATACAAAAATAATATTATGCTTTCCAGTGGATCCAGGAATTTCAGCACCTGTAGTGCTGATGATTTTGAGAACCTTATTCTAAATGGAGGAGGCAACTGCCTTAGAAATCCTCCCAAAGCAAGTAACATATACAAGGAACCTGTGCTTAAAAGGTTCTATTTAAGTTCACATTGCAGGTGGCATGTGTCCTTTTATAAGGTGCCCACAAAACACCCTGTGCTCTGACCTGCTGGCAGCAAGAGGCCTGAGAAGCTGTTTGGAGAGGGAATCTTTTGACAGCCAACTCTCAAAGTTCCTACAGCAGTTTCACCCTCTGTTAAACCAGAAGAATCTGTTTAAGATTCTTCTTACTACTTTACCAGAAGTAACATATAAAAGGAACCTGTCTGTGGTAATAATGTGGTTGACAGCAATGAAGAATGTGACTGTGGCAAACCAAAGGTAATGCATGAAATTCAACTGAATACTTTGATTTTTGTATGAACTCAGTTAAGGGCTACTGGACTTCATGGAACTTTGAGCCAAGGAAGAAGAGCCTTTCAGTGCAGAGTGTGTGGAAATAGCGTTCATTGGGTTTTGTACTGGCTTTAGCAACACAGATATTTCTGTTACAGAGCACTTACAGGTTTACTAACTGCAACCCTTAAACTTTGCCAACAAAATGGCTTTTGTTGGTCAGCTCTGCATTGTCAGAATGTCCCTCAAAGAACAGGATATATTGACTTGTTTTAAAGAACACAAAAGTGTCTCAAAAAAGACACCAATAAATCAAAAGGCTGTCAGCAAACCCAGGTGCTGTCATATAGGCTGCCTTCTAAGTCATTAAAAGATACCAAAATTTCCTCTACACCAGACTGCTAGTGCAGTGGAAATATCAGATGGGGAAAGGGTGTTAAGAAGTGTTATTTAAAAACCAGTATGTTCTGCTTCTTTCAGTGCCCATTTCAAGTGTAAACCTCTCCCCTACCCCTGTGCCATGACACAGAAGGCCAGATGTTTTTCTGATGACTTGCAATAAAAAATGCAGCCAAACTGTGTGCTGGCTTCTGTTAGAGCAGCAGGCTGTCAACCTCAGAACACAGAACAGAGACAGAGTGTTTGAAGTTTGGGTTTGTCCATGCACTTGGTTTGATGATGTACTTACCTAGCTAGAGAGCAAGGGAGAAACTTTGTGTCCCCTTGTCCACGGCTGTTCCTCAGGAATGTACTAACCCTTGCTGTGATGCTGCAACCTGCAAACTCACACCTGGATCACAATGTGCTGAGGGACTGTGCTGCAAAAATTGCAAGGTAGGCTGTGCTTTATTCAACTCAATTGACACTGTTCACTAGTATTTTTTAATGTTTGAAAAGAGCTGTCATAGTACTCTTGTCCTATTTCCACATGATCAAACTGCACTGATCAGTATGCAAGCTGAGAAGTTGTGTCTAGCAGCTCTTGGCCAGTAGCTTAGAAATGGAATGTCATCCTCATGCCATCCCTTGTAGGGGGCAGGAGCAATGAGGGGACTCAGCAGTGATCTCTATTATGCAACATGGAGCTTCTCCAAAGTCTGTGAGAGTCAGCTGCTCTTTCATTTGTACTTGTGGATGTGTTTGTATGATCTACCCATGTCCCCTGCATGCTCAGCTCCTCAACTTATAGCTCTGCCATATGAAACTGAGGGAAGGTTTGGATATTCATTAAGAAATTGATCTGAAAATCTATCTTGTCTTTATTAAAATCCCCAAAGGTTCCCAGCTACCATTGTTTCATGTTAGAAACTCTCACTGCTGCAAAATAAAAGCAAGCTGGTTCTTCCTCTCTGGTTCTAGTTTAAAGTGGCAGGAGCAGAGTGCAGATCGAAGATGGATTTTTGTGATCTCCCTGAGTACTGCAATGGAAGCCATGCCTACTGTCCAGAAGATGTTTATGTCATGAATGGTTACCCCTGTGACAACATGAAGGCCTACTGCTACTATGGAGTATGCCAGAGTTTTGATTCACAGTGTGAATCTATATATGGAAAAGGTATGTTTATAATTTGATGTAAAAAGACTTGTAGTTGCTTAATAGACACTTCTGATTTTTCATCTTCTGTCTCAGATTTCTAGGATAGTTTAGTTGCTTACTAAGATTGACTGTTTTTTGTACAGGGGCACGAAAAGCACCTGACATATGCTTTGAAAAAGCAAATATTAAAGGAGATAGGTTTGGAAACTGTGGAATGAGAGGTGGATCATACAAGAAATGTCCTGTTCAGTAAGTCAGCAGCAAATGAAAGCTAACCTTAAAACCTGCAATGTAAAACATTATATTCTGCTACAAACACTTAAAGCATGAGATTTAAAAGAATGTTTCCTTGAAATGCAAGCTAAAATGTTTGTCTGGATGGTGCATTTGCACTGAAACAGTTTTTTTTCCTGTTCACCTTTTTTCTGAGTGTCATTCCTTCAACACAGGCACAGTCTGTGTGGCAAGCTCCAGTGCACATCAGTCAGTCTCCAAAATCTTCCTGCTTGGAGTGTTGTCAATAACGCATCTGGGGTTTTATGCTGGTCTTCTGACTTTGACTTAGGATCAGATGTCCCTGATCCTGCTCAAGTTCATGATGGAACAGCCTGTGGAGAAATGAAGGTAAGATGAACAGCAGCACCATTACAGAATCTATTCCACCCACTGGAAAGTTCTTAACTTTCAAAGGTGTTACAGAGCTCTCTTATTTATATGCCATGAGATAATAAAAAATCTACTTTTTCAAATCTGCACATACAAGCAATTAATTAGCTCTTCCAAAATTGGCATGCTACAAACCAGTGAACTACATTATCAGCTATTCAAATGACTCCATCAAAATGCATCCACAGGCTTAAAAGAATCTGAGACAAATGGAGCTATAAAGTGGTGAAGTACTGAATATCCTATCAGCCCTTTTCCTAACATTCAAGCAAAAGCTGTAGACTTGTAAACATGTATATATTGATGTAGTATATTTATACAAGGATGGGATTTTTTGACGTTTTGTGACTAATTACTTTGACTAATTACTTTTCCAGGCCTGTGTAGGTTTTGAGTGTGTTGATGCAAGTCATCTGGGCTACAGCTGTGATGTAAAGCAGAAGTGTAGTGACCACGGGGTGAGTAGATGAAGCTTCCATGCCCTGTTTCTAGAAGACAGAGATAGGTGCAAAATCCCTGCATAAAAGCAATCACCATCCAGATGGCTTTGGTTTTTTTCTGATCTGTGTTAAAAATTAAGTCCATGTTTTCAATCTGTAATTCATGTTGCCAGTATCATGTAAACCTCCCAGCACTAACACTTAAAGACACATCTTCTGAATTTCCCTTGGGAATTTTCTAATATTACTGAGCTGCATGTTAAAAAAGGAACACATTCCTCTAAGGAGAACAGTGTAGTGAGTCACAATTTATATCTTTCTATAGGAAAAATCACAGTGGAGTCCAAAGGTTGTAAAACTGATCAGTCCTTTAGACTGCAATCTACTGCAGGCAAACAACAAACGGGAGGTTCCCTTCTGGAGATGTGCCATTCTTAGCGTGCTGGAGGCTGAGGGTGGCTGGTTCCAGAGAGGCGTTGCCTCTGTGAGTAACCCTTGCTGTGTGGCTGCAGGTGTGTAACAACAACGGGAACTGCCACTGCAGCCCTGGCTGGGCACCTCCCTCCTGCGAGCGCTCGGGCTCCGGCGGCAGTGTGGACAGCGGCCCGGCCCCTGGCGGTAGGACACCGACACTGGCCTGGGTTCTGCCCTGGCTGGCAAAATCACCTCCTGACAGGGGCTTTGCAGTCTCTTTTTCAATGTCTGTTTGGTTTTACTGCATGGGACACTTAATCATGGACTGACTGGAAGAACAAACGTTCTTTTCTGATGGGTACATTTGTGGGCGCCGAGGAAGTTGGTCCAAGGGAGAGTTTGACCTGTATTTGTCTGAGATAATCAATACGTTAGTTGCTTGGAATTATTGTTCTATTTCTTAAAAGAGAGATTTAGACATTTACATCGGTATTTAAAACAGAACTCTGACAAAATGGATGTCATAGAGGAAAACTATAGCTCAAGAATGAAACCAGCAGCCTTTTATGTGTGGAAAGGGTCTGGCAGAAACAAGAGGGGTTAAGGAGGAGCATGCAGCAAGCAGCAGTTGGAGCCATGAAATTCTGCAAAGGGAAACTGGAGTAGATTTTGCTGGCTTTGGCTCTGAGAAACCACACAAAATGCTTTCCCTTTCTTTTGTTTACAAGCAAAGTTCATCACCTGTAGCTTTGTGAGGCAAAATACCAATTTGTATTTTATCCAATGTTACTAAATTCATATTTTGGGAAAGGGAAAAAAATGCTTTGTGTTTATTAAAGGCTTAGGAAGGCAAAGAAGACATGCAGATCAGGTGTGGGTATGCAAATACAAAATGAATTTCTCTGCTCTTTTTTAGTTTGGTTCTTGAAATAATGTATGGAAAAGGAAAAAGGTTTTAGATCATAGAACATGGGGTGGGGTAAGGCAGAAAGTACTTGTGATAACACAAAGCCAAATCCTACTTTTCTGATCATAGTATTTTATAAAGTTTGGTGGTGCTACTGGCTTTAATCTATAATAAATTGAAGATAGTTTTTACAACAGAAAGGTGGTTTTAGCAGAAAAAAAAAATGCTTTAACGTGAGGTTAACAAGATGAATATCTTAAATATTTTAATTCTTTTTCTCTAGATACATCACTTCGGGATGGTCTCCTCGTTTTTTTCCTCCTTGTGCTGCCAGTAGGGATCATTACTGTATTAGCAGTAATTAAGCGGGATGCAATAAGAAGAAAGTTTTGCAGGAAAAGCAGAAGACAGCAGAGGTATCTCACTTCCTACAGAGGTGTATTTGAACACTTGAGAGCATGCTCCAGATTAATTTAGCAAGCAAGGCAGATGCTTTATCTATACAAAGAATTCCATAGCTCCAGTACCCTGCTCCAGGTACTCCAGTTGTCAGTTCTCAAGCATTTTCTCCCAAAATACATGGAACTTTCCTAATGGTTATTGGTAATGGTATTGCACAGACAGAGGGGCAGAGCACACTGAAATTGCTGGCACAGCCAGCAAGGGGTGGAGCCAGAAACAGAATCCAGATCTCTGAGCTGTAGCCTTGTCCCTGGAAAAATGCTGCACCCTCAGGGTAGTTACACCTAAAGGACTGGCCTGATAACGTGGTCTTTATTTCAGGGATAACAATGTGCAGCAACCAAAGCAAAACAATGGACCGAGTCATAACACAAGAAATAATCAGGTAAGACAAAGCCACACTTGCATTATTTTATGTTGAATAATCCAAAATATACAGTGTCTGGTGACTTTGTGGCTTTTTGATAAATTGAACCCATCTGGATTTCCGAATATTTAAAATCATTTATAATGTGTTAGACAAGATTTGTGTTTGGGTAAGTATGAGCTTTATTGCCTGTTCTGTCAACACAGGCTGTGAGTAGTATGGGATGGAGCAGGCTGCTACTGAACTCTGAATTTTGCAGCCAGATACCAGAGCAGCTGCTCAGCCAGGCTGCAGATCTAGTTCTGATACAACAAAATAAAAATTATCAAACCAAAATGTTGCAAGAGAATATAGAGAACGACACAGGAAATGAAGATTAGTTCTAAAATACCATTAGCTTAATGCTGAATAATAAGCTACACTTTGAAATCTGTGTTTTCTATTAACCTGATTTTCTGCAACATCTTTCCCAGCCTGCCACGTCAAGCCCGGAGTTTTTTACCATATCACATTTCCCTGGTCCAAGGTTTGTAGTATTTAAAACCTTCATTACTTCATGTTTGCTACATTGACATTGCTGAATCCTTCTAAGTGAAGTTCACATGTCTCGTGTCCTGCTTAGGAGGATTTTTCATGCAGCATCATAAGAGACAGAACAGATGAAATGCTTGAAGGAGAAATGCTGTTTTACTGCTTGTCTAGAAAACAGGGTAATGGGACATGTAAATGCTACTGGGGGGAGGAAAGGGAGATGGAGGAGCAGAGAGGGTCAAATCTATCTATAAATCACCTCTTTTAAGAATGGTAAAGAACCAGTAGAGAAATACCTGTTGTCTGAAACCATGAAATACTTCACAAAATGTCTTTTCCACACTTCAGGCAGCCAGTACAAACCCAGTTTCCTGCAGTTCCTCCAGGACCTCAACGACCCCCAGTCCCACCTAAACCAGCTGCCTGAAAAGTTCCCTGGGAACCCTCAACCAATTCTGACAAGCAGCTGGCCTGGAAAAGCCTCCTGGCTGCAATCCTCCAGTCCTCTCCTGGCGCAGCCAAAACGCCCTCTGAAAGCACATCCCTCTGGAAAAGACTTGATGCCAAGAACACAGATTTGGTAACATTCCACAGTTTTGCTCACTGCTGCTGGCTGTGTTTGAGCCTCTTCTACCTCACTCCTTGGGTTTTGTAAATCAGAAGCCTGACGTTCAACTCATTAAGAATAAATTGGTAACAGCATCAGAGAACAGGACTCGTTTGAAGCGCAGCCTGAGTGGCAGGCTGAGAAGTGAGTTCAGTGATTTACAGACATCATTTATTCCCCTCCAGCCATACACTGCTGTGAAAATGAGAAGGTCTGCAGCCTGTCTACCTCCTGGGATGTCCCCTCGGCAACACTGCCTGGGACCTCCATGGCACCTGCTGGGCTTGGAGACAGCTCCTGTGCATCTGAGCCCTGCCCTCGGTGCAGCCCTGCCACAGCTGGGGTCCACATCCCACCTCTCCTCACCTACTACCTGTGCCACTTCCCAGTTCAGGTAGTTTATGAAAGTAACCTACTATATAAACTCCAGGGAGATCTTACAGAAGCCTTCCAGTACTTAGAGGACACGGGGTAATGGCTTCAAACTGGAAGCAGGAAGATTTAGATTAGATGCAAGGAAGAAATTCCTCACTGTGAGGCTGGTGAGACACTGGCACAGGTTGTCCAGGAAGGATGTAGATGCCTTATCCCTGGACGTGTTCAAGGCCAGGTTGGATGGGGCTTTGAGCAACCTGTTCTAGTGGGAGGTGTCCCTGCCCATGGCAGGGGGGTTGGAACTGGATCATCTTTAAGACCCCTTCCAACCCAAACCATCCTTTGATATTGGGAAACTACCAATGGAAAGAAACTCTGTAGATAATACATCTGAGTCTGAAAGAAACAGGCCCATCTCTGGTGCTACATCCCATTTTCTGTATCAGGAAATAAAATATACAACTTTATAGTGTTTTAATGTTTACTGGTTATTACAGCTTGAGATTTTTGCTAGAAACTGATTCCAGATAACTTGGGTCATTGTAAATGGGACAATTAGAAAGTGGCACCAATTTAAAAGCAAATGTCTGACACGAGCTAGCTTGTCCAAATGGCCACTAATGGAAGAGAAGCTGCTGAGCAGAGAAGCACTCACCCAACAGAGCAAGAACAAAGCTGCAGGTGATCAGTGTGTCCACTGGGGAGAGTGAGTCACACACCAAACGTGTCCACGTGTGAATATCAACTAGCAAAATGAGTGAATAAAGTACAGAAATTGCCTCAGCTTGAAAATGCTTCCAATTCCTTAGATGACCACTTCACAGAAGGGCTGGATGAAAGAACCTAAAATATGCTGCAGGCAAATACCTGCACGGGCAAGGAGCGCCTTCCAAAGAAGCATCACCTTCCTTAATTCCTCCCCATCTTAAATCGTTGTTATTCAATATCATTTAGGCCTCACTAAGGAGAATACTACATCAATAAAATGTAAAATTTATTCATTTCAATCACCAGGATCAGCAGGCTTGGTAGTGTCTTGATTTCCCAAAGCTAACAGACCCTGCCCTGGGCAAGCGGGGGCAGCTCAGCTCAGGCACTCCGGGCTCACTAAACCTGCTCACAGAATTCACTGTCCAGCTGAGAGGGAGGAAAAGCAGCAGCTCCCCACACACGGTCACACCACAGAACCTTAGAGTCACAGAATGTCTGGGCTGGAA